TAATGTATTTTGTTTTTTAACACATTGTCAACCGATTATGTAAATCTACCATTTCTATTTTATCATTCACAACGAATAATATTTCATTCTTATATACTATTCTAAAGAATGTTGTTCCATAATATTATTACATATAATAAAACGTCGTTCAATTTTACATTATTAATTTTCCTAACACAAGGTCCTTTATCAATTTTTCTAAAAATCTTTTTATAAAATTTAGACATCTATTCAACTGTAATTCCTTCGGTTGGTAATCCGTTAAGACTACATAAATAATTCCTTAAAACAAGTTTCAAATAAATTAGCAGCAAAGATTATAATTTGTAAGAATATATTTATATCATAAGTAATAAATTTTGTATATGGAGAATAAAAATCCTCATTTAATATTATGGATACTTATTTAACATTAATTGGTAGAAATCTGATAAAGAGGTTATATATCACTAGGCAAGTTGGTAATAGAAATAGTGCTTAACCAAGAAGAAGTTTACGTGAGAACTACGTACAAAATCGCTGACAGATACAAGCGCCTCTGCCGACATAATTATGAAACTCGCGGGTCGATTTTTCGTACATCAACAGATCCTTATAGTGCTGTCAGTCTCGTTGGGTTCTGTCAGCTGGGGAAGTAGGAGAGTGTAGAACGATAAAAATGGTAAATATGTTTCAAATTAATGAAAGTACAATTCTCTAAATACGTGTTCTATTTTTTTATACTGATATTTCTTTTAATTTTCAGTCGTTCGCTAAGAAAATATCATCGATTATGCAAAGACCAGAACAGGACTCTGTTGCCAAGGACGATGTACCTTGGTGGATGAAATATGCTGGTCGAGGACTCGGTACCGTGGGTAGTCTAAGTACGTTTTTAAAAATAATACATGTTGCAACATATACTTTATCATATAATTAATTTTCTATCACAATTTTTTCTACAACAAACAACATTTTTACATAATAAAAAATACATATTATAATTAATCTTTTGCATATATACACAATATTAAGACACAATATATGCTTATGGTTTCTTACATTTCTTTATCTTTAATTGATTATGCAGTATCGAAACAGTTTATCATCTATTGTTATTGTTATATATTTTTATATTACTTTCATTTATATTATTTACAATTGTTGCTTTGAAAATACATGGTAATAAAGATCTATAACTAATGTGAATGTATGTTTATTTAATACTTTTTATTAATTTGTTACAGTTGCAATTTTTTTTGGAGCATGGAACTGCGCTTCAATACTTTGGGCTTCTATAGATTGCCTGATTAGCGGTATGTGGCAAATGGTAGCTGGTTTTATAGTTGTAATGATAGAAGCACCATGTTGCTGTCTATTTATTGATTTTGTACAAAACTTAAGTGATTGGGTGGAAAAGAGACCATATTGGAATAGAGCAGCTGCATATTGCTTGTAAGTATATTATTTTTTAAACAGATTATTTGATCTACAATGCTACACTTCTTTTCTTTTCTTTAATATTACCTTGCATTATTAATACTTAGATATGCTGTTTTTTTGTTATTTTTAGAATGGCACTTCCTCCAGTCTTCCTTTGTTTTGGAGTAAGTAGCGTATTTGGTAGTGGTCTAATATTTGCAACAGGTGTAATATATGGACTAATGTCACTTGGACGAAAGTAAGTTACTTTTATTTTGTGTTTAATTTTATAAAATAAATCATTAATATTAAAATAACACAGATCATTGATGATATACTTTCATAGGTATAAGTAATTTATGCTATTAAATATATTGCTTTATTTTAATCCTTTGTAATCACATAAATTTTTTAAATAATTGTTTTATTCAGTTAGGAATATGAAATGTGTGGTGTGCTCTTGTACAAATATGTACACATGTTTGCTTGTGGGTGGAAGAGTAACTTGTTGTATTGTCTTCATTATATTTGTTTGTGTTTATGTTTGAATTTATTGCTCTGGATTTTGGGTTCTTTCCATAATATGTAAATCAACTAACATGATTTTCATTTCACCATACAGAATTTTATAAAGTATGTACACAGTCATTCATTCTAAGCAACACAAAACATATCACTTTATATTTTTATCAACATACATCACACACAATGTGTCATTAAAATATAGTAATAAAGTACAATATATTTGATGAATGTTATTCTTAATTTTGTTACTAATACACTAATCA